GTGGAGGTGAAATCATGTGTTCAGAGTGGACAAGGGTGAGCTCTGCATCCACATCCCACGACTCCTGGTCAGCCTCCCTCCAGACCTGACGTCCACCTCCATTCCCACAGAAGGCCTGCTGAGAGGCAGCAGGAGAGGGCTGATGCACGTAGGCTGAGACATGGCACCGGCACGTTTCTCAGGTCTGCAGAAGCCCCGGCCTGAGCAACACCTGACCCCAAGTCCCCACCTGACCTGGGGTTCAGTCCACACACTTACAACGGCCATTTCTGGTTGAACAGAGAAAAGAAGACACATGGAACAGAGTCTTTGAGCAGGAAAATGAGTCCACTGACACTACCCCATTGTCCAGTCGTGAGCTGGATGTGCACAGGGAGGAATGGGTGACAGGGAAGGTTTGCTAGCTCCAGGGGTGGCGGTCTGGCTTCTCCTCACAGGATTTGGAAGTACTGGGTTAGAACTCAGGCCTGTGCTTGTTGGGCCGTCGTGCCGTGACTGGGCCATGCCTCTCATTTTGCTGTCAGCTGTTATTCGGGCAGAGCCTTGGTGTTGACTGAGGCTGGGCTCGGAGCTCAAACGCTGTGTCCATAGCTCTGAAGTAGCTGGGGGCCCTGTGGGCCTGGGCAGTCACCCCCAGCTTCTTGACTGATATTCAGCCTGGCTAGTATTTTCACTGGCTGGATTCAAACTACAATCCTCCCATCCCCACTTCCCACACAGCCTGGATTGCAGGGAGTACCCTGTGCGTAGTCATGTCCCTCACGTTTTCAACAGAATTTCAGGGCCTCCTCAGCAGGGAATCCCAGTGTGTCTCCCCAGGTCTCATGGGAAAGTGATCGTCAGGTCCCCTGGCCTTTCTCAGGTCCTGGGGACCACGGCTGGGTCGTTGCCATTTCCAGGACGATGCACTGGTCTCATTGATGTGGGAATATACTTTATCGTTTGAAGATCATAACAACATGATCACCTTGTGAACTCAGAGACGCCACGGAGTGGCAGCCCTCCAGATCCAGAGGGGATCCCTGGCAGTCGGCTGGACAGAGGGCAGCCAGACGGTGACACCAGCCCTGGGCTGCATGCTGTGTTCTGGATGGACTCTGGGCTGGGGTGTGCTGGGCACCCCTGAGGGTCCTGTGCGTCTCTGCGGCAGGCTTGTGTCAGGGCTCACACCCGGTCTCCTCAGTGTGTCCTACACAGTAGTGCAAGGCTGTGTCCTCCGTGGTCACAGAGCTCAGCTGCAGGGAACACTGGTCCTTGGAGGTGGGCACTGTCATGGAGACTCTGCTCTGGAGGCTCGGGCTGTACGCAGTGCTCCCACGTTTATAGATGTGTCCAGTCCACTCCAGCGTTTTCCCTGAGGCCTGTCGTGTCCAGCTCCATAGTCACCATGCTGGAGTCACCAGAGACCGCACAGGAGAGGGACGGTGTCTGCACGGGCCTCAGCAGGCCAGCGCCTGACTCCTGCAGCTGCACCTGGGACAGCACAGCTGTGGACAGAGGAGCAGCTGTGTCTCGGCCCAGATGCCGCATCCCACGCTCCTGCCCAGTCCCAAGTCACCACCGCTGTGAGCTGCCAGCAGGAGCACAAAGACCACACCTGCTTCACGTTCACAAGGTCACGTCTGTCACACGCAGACAGCATTTCCAGAGTGCAGAAGAGGCTGAATTTAAGCGAGGGTGTGACTTCTCCTGGTGTGTATGTGGGAATTTGCATGTGGGGGCATCCTGCTTGTGGCTGCATACGAGGGGCAGCGTCCCTGTCACCTGTCCCCTGAGAGGAGGTGACCGCGGGTCTCTAGTCACCTCAGCCCTGTGACCGCAGCCTCACCTCCCTGGTCCTTGCAATTACCAAGAGGCATTCATGCTGAAAGACCTGATTTTTCATCTAGATATGTAATATGTGAATGCAAACAGTGTCTTTCTTTATCACACAAACAAATACACAACTACACATACCTGTACACACACCTCACAGGTACATACATGCCCACAATACACAATCCCACATATATACACAAACACACATATACGTACATACACAGAACCTTGGAACTTTGATCAGGAAGTAGATCCAATGAGTGTCAGTGGAGGCAAAGAGAAAGAACAAGCATGCAGAAGCAGGAGAATCATTGTGGACCAAGTGTTCTGGGATTGCAGGGCTTGTCCTGGTCTTCAGAGGTTTACTGAAGTGGGAGAGAGATTGGTAAAAGTGACCACTCATGAGAATAGCCTGCAGGATTGCATGAGGACACACGGTGGTTATTCGGGTAGTAAAGTTCGCCAGAATACATTATAAGAATGATGGCATTCTAACTGTTGGACATCATTCTTATTTTTCCTAAGGAAGAATTCTACCTGGTCCCACACAACCCATTCACTTTGGAGAATTGGGAGTTCACGTGACAGGAAATCATGGAGGTTCTCAAGTGCAGCAAGTTTCCATGACCATCATTTTCACCAATTTTCCTAACCCAGCAGAGCACAGCACCATGACGGGACTGTGAGATGGCGGTACATGGCTGTTGGTCCATTCATGACCTGGATAAGTCACAGGAGTGTGTGTGGTCTTGGTACACCCATGTAACTCCATTTCACTGGGACTGTAGGAGGACATGGTACATCCATGTATGTCTATGTACTCTACTCCATGTATGACCCCACAGCAGGCTCTAGGTTCTGGAGAAGTCTGTGCATGGGTACACCTGGGAACCTGCATAATTCTCTGATCTAGCCTCTGCATTTTGTCATGAACACCACCTGGTCTGTACATTCTGCTAAATAAAAATGGCACTGATTTTGTGGGTATTTCACAAGAATTAGACTTAATGTGTGATCTATGTTCCATATTGTAGCAGATTAGGTTCTCTACAAGCAGAAATATTAAATGAGGATGAACCTGAAGTTAAACAAATATGGTTTGTGAATTATTTTGGTTCTGCAATTGCATAGAGGTTGTTCCTTTTATGTGAATATGTAAGGAAGAAAAGTGGTCCTGTGTGACATGAATGTATAAGGGAAGAAAAGAGGTCCATTGTGAAGTGAATGTGTAAGTGGAAGGGAAGAGATCTGATGTGAACTGAATGTGTAAGAGGAAGGTAAGACGTCCCATGTGAAGTGAATGTGTAAGGGAAGAGAAGACGTCCCGTGTGAAGTGAACATGCAAGAGGAGGGGAAGCGGTCCTGGGTGAATATTCCCTGTGCAGTAGGTGTTTGATGAGCC